TATAGATATTTCTGTTCGTTCTTTTCGTTGACTTGGATACAAGTGGAATGAACTTTTTTTTCCTATTGGAAAAAATAGGAATCCGATGTAATGTTGGGTTTTTTTAAATCATTGACCACGATATTTTGGAATGTATTTTACATGTGATGTCAACCAACCAGCCTACATGTTGATCTTGTGTACTGTTACATGGGCGGATGTCATTTCCCGGTCAGATATACTGTGCTATTTGAAGGACCTGGAAATGAAATTGGATGGGCGTTAGTCTTGTTACGGGTATTTCATTTTGACCAATTCGGTCTCGCGTGCTGTTACGGGTATGAGGGCGATTGTCACTTCCCGGCTGCCCACACCGTGGAAGGTTGTTTCTTGAGGGACCTGAAAGGGAACATAGATTAATGTTGGTCTCAGAGACCTGGGAGTGTGACCGCAGAGTTCAAGGGACAACTGCTTCAGGCCGGTCACGCACAGTCTTTTTATGAGAGGGTTTTTTGAGGATTAGCTCCGCTCATTAGGAAGCCCTCAATGGGCACCCTTACCGACGGAGACGGAAATCCGTGAGGTAGGGTGAGGTGTGACATGTTCAGGGTCGACCTTTTCTAACCCTTCCTTCGTTCCTTGTGAGAAGGCAGCATCGCTGCAGATGCTGGTTGTCCGAGGGAAACACCTTACTGCCGTCACACACCTCTGCAGTCAGCAGTACGACTTCGCCCTCAGACCTTGGGTAGCTGCTTTTAATCTGATCGTTCTCCAATCGACCTGCCTGGCATGGTAGAACCTTCAGGAACATATGTGAGATGTGTAATTTTGAAGGTCGACCTTTTCTCACCCCTTTCCTTCGATTTTGAGAAAAGAACATCGCAATACGATTTCACCCTCACACCTTGATATGCTCCTTGTGGTCTTACCGTTCTCCAACTGGTCTGCCTGTCATGGTATGACCCCGAGGAATATGTGTAGCAGCAAATATGACTCGGTTGAGACATTACGATTAACAGGCCTTAATGGATGTCGATTTTTCACCCGCACTGATATTATAAGTGACGATTTATTTACTCTCTAAAAACACACCTACTGATCCCCAGAGTGCTCCGCCCATCGATCCAACAACGACTACAGAAGGCTCGATTGGCTTTTACCAACCTACGTCACTTAATAGGTAGGCGAGATATCCGTTTGCTGAGCAAAAGACGTGTGTACTGTGCAGTTGTTCGCTCTGTCCTACTTTATGGCTGCGAAAGATGGCCGGTAAGAGTAGAAGACATTCGTACATTATTAGTATTCGATTATAGACATGTTCGAAACATTGCTCGTACATCCCGGGACACCCGAATAATCAATGCTGAGCTTAGAAAACGAGTACTAGGCAGGGATAGGAAATCAACAGATGAAGTATTGAAACTTCATCAGTTGGGGTGGTTAGGACATGTTTCACTTATGTTCAACCACCGACTGGTTTAGGAGTAGGATGGAAAAATGTAGGGGCAGTCAAACCAAAACATGACAGAAATCCATGAAGTCACTGACAATCGGATTGAGTCATGTTGGTAGACGTAGGCTACCTGATTGGGGTTGCTGAGACGAAAGTCACTAATGGTTAGAGACCTTGAACGACATGGCTCAGAATTGTTTACTATGGCACAGGTGCATTGATTTTTTGTGTTCTATGAAATTCTAATCTTTAGAATTCCTTATCATCTCTATCTTTCTCTTACTAAAGTCATCTCACTGAATTATACTTCTCGCAGAATAACTTCGATCCTTAATATTCTCCATTACTAGTAATTCTTCTACTATCTCTACTACTATGTGATTTAAATTGACAGTTGTGTGTCTTTACTGATACGGTATGGCAACCTGAACTTATGTACTCTCATGTACGAAGTGCTACGTTGTAACTGACTGATTGACACCACAACGACTACAATGACTCTAAACAAGAATACACTGATTTGTATATTTCAGTTTGTACACTCATTTGTTTTTTGATCAGAGGATGGTATCCGCAGAACAATGTTAGTTCACAAGCTGTATGTCATACTCTACCAAATTCACGTTAATTTATGACAAATATTAAAATTGTGTCTTGATTAGAAAACATCAATTTCAAATAAACCCAAATGTTATATTACTCAATAAAAAGTGTGAACATTGAAAATTTAACAAATCCAACATTGAATATTGATCACAGTTGAATTAAACATGAAAGTTAAAGTTTAATAATACACCGCAGTCATATTGACTAAGATGTTATGATTCCTATAAGTTTTAAAGACCGATATTTTTGTAGCTATAAAATAAAACAAAATAAACTGTTTCACAACTAAAATTATCCTTTCGATTGCCAAACAGACATTTACGTAAATAAGCTGACCTAGATTTTGTCAGTAGCCAAAACACACCAGGGTTTATAATCAACATTAAAAACTTGATACTATCATGTGTAGATTACATTTTTGAATTTAATTTTTGGCTACTATCAATCATTCATCAGTAGTATATAATAATATTGTTTAAGATTTGTCGTCTTAATCTTCTCTGTGATATTTAAGGACTGCATTTAATTAGTCTCTTTGGCATATTATATGCATCCTGTGTGGACTCCCTTGATTCTGCCGTTACGTTTTGAGTATTATTAACAGAGGCGAATTAATCTTCACCCTATTGCACAATTCAATGGCTTTCTGGACACAGTGAATTACACAACGACGTTTACTGCGTAAGATACTGTGGTTTGAGTCCTCAAGTGAGCATCAACTCTGAGATGATGATATATCCAGTTGACGAGTGCCTAATAGGTTGGAACGTGCATCGTGGAATCCAACGCTAGCTACTATCTACTACTGATGATCAAATTGTGATTGGTTATCTATCAGTGTTTTTGCTCACAGTTACTGAGATTCAGTCAGTCAGCTACGACGTAGAACGCACATCAGTTCAAGTCGCCATACTACACATTAGCGCAGAAATGCAAGTTACTGATATTAATATGGGAAAAAACTAAATAAAACTCACAATTGAGAACAATATCCCTTTTTTGATAGTATCAATATCATTATGTATTTTCTGTCTGACTTAATAACATATTGAGATGTAAAGCAATCTGCTTGGAATGATAACACTGGATTACTTTTAAATCCAACTGTTTTACTGATCTAAATAGCGATAACTGGTGACTGGCAATGAAATCTGAGGACGTGTGTTTCGTCGTATTCATTGATGGTTATCTGAGTTTACATGCATCCCAGGGTTGATGTTCATTTCAAGTCTCGAACTCAGTACTGTTCGCCTCAAATATCATTGCGTTATCAACGTAACTAACTACTGAGTTCCTAACAGTAGTAATCTTTTTGATTTTGTTATCAGTTCTCCTAAAACTACAAATATTTCTCAAAAAATTTAAACAAGACTAGTTATTAGTAGTATGTGGACGATTGTCACTCTCCAGTTTTTCATGCTATGAGTTTAAAGTTAAAATCTGAGTGAAAAGTGGTTTTAAGAAATTGCGTGCTTTGTCATATAGATGAAAGCAACAATGCCTTTTTTGAATAGTTTTTTCATGTGTTAGCTGCAAACTTTCAACAGTTTGTTTTGCGTAATCGTAATTTTTTTTAAGAAAAATTATACGAACCTCACCGTCAAACTAATAGCTAAAATCAGATAAGTCTTGTTCGTCAATTCTCTTCAATCATTACATATTTTGCAATTTAATTCGATTAAGTAAGATGGTAGGATTGATTCTATCTATCTGATATTTTGGTTATTTGCTGTTAGTTTGTAGGTCCTGCACTGAAAAGTGGACTGAGCCATGTTGGTAGATGTACCTGGTTGGGGTCCGCGAAACGAAAGTCACCAATGGTTAGAGACCTTGAACGACATGGCTCAGAATTGTTTGCAATGAAGCAGGTGCATTCACTCTTTGTGTTCTCTCTAATTCTAAGCTTCTGAATTCCTCATAATCTCTATCTTTCTCCTTCCAAATTTATCTTACTGAATTATACTTCTCGAATCATATTTTCGCTCCCTAATCTCCTGCATTACTGATAATACTTCTACTATCGAGATGGTAGAGAAAACTTGTAGCTCAGGTGGATGATTGTGGTGGTGTTTCGTTCTCTGAGCTGGTTGTTTTGGTTGTGGAGCTTTCATTGTTCTTCTGAACAACATCATCAGCACGAACTTTTATCTGAAGTTCATGCTGATGGTGTTGTTCAGAAGAACAATGAAAGCTCCAAAACCAAAACAACCAGCTCAGAGAACGAAACACCACCACAACTTCTACTATCACTATCACTCTTGGATTTGAACTGACATTTGCGTCTCTGTACTGATGTGGTACGGCAACCTGAGCTGATGTACTTACTTACGAAGTTCTGCGTTGTATCTGTCTGTCTGTCCTGCATTATTGAGTTATGGAGATTATTAAGTTTCATTAAAATAATCAATCGATCATAGTTAAACCACCATTAAAAATCTGAAAGCACTGGATGGCTGTTTCGTTCTAGTATGAGACTCATCAGCTATGCGCATTTACGACCTTGGTCCGTGAGGATCGAACCTAGGGCTCTCGATCTCACGCGCAAACGCTTGAACTCTAGACCACTGGTCCGATATCTAATGGTGTTCATGTTGATCCGAGTTATTGAGCGACCCGCACAGGGGTCGGATGGGTATGCACTGATGATGAATAGCCCCATACTAGGATGAAATGGCTGGAGCAGACACTTCTAATTCATGATAAAATTGATATGGATGAGGTTATGCGAGACTGTACGGATTGATCGCAGTTAGACATCTATACCGTTTGATACTGGCTCAATGGTTCCGTGATCAGGGGTCGTGAATGCTCACTGCTGATGAGTCGCCATCGTATTAAGACGAAACGGTCGTCCAATTTTCTAATATTAGTCTAACAATGTGATCAATTCATGATTTCGATGAATGTTTTTAGTGAGTTTATTTTCGCTTAACTAACAGTACTTTTTTCTCCTCACTGTTAGCATTATTTTGGCAATTCCCCAAACGTCCACCGAAACCAATTGAATTCTCTATTACAGATCCTTTGTAAGTTTTTTTTGTACTCTCTTTTTATTTATTCATGTAATTAGTAGTATATTCAGATATTTTTCATTTAAAAAAAGGAAGATAATTCAATGAAAAAATGCGCACTGCCACTGATGAGTTCCATACCAGGAGGGAACGGCCGTCCAGTGCTTCCAGGTTTCTTCTAATGGTGGTCTAACAATCATTGATTGATGATTTCAAATGTGAAAATTAAATCACTTTTTGTGTAATGGTACTTTTCATTCATATGATTAATAATTACATTAAATAACCTTGAAATAATAACCAATCAGAAAGTGCAACACTAACGATCATCAATGTAGATTGGTACATTTTATTTTTAGTAGTATTATTATATAAAACACAACATATATGTTTAGTCAATTAGTCAACTACAACATAAATCTTTGTATGTAGAACATCGTACGTAGGTAGGTACGTAAGTACATCAGTTCATGTTACCGTAACACACATTAGCACAGAGATGTAACTAACTGTCAATCGATGCTCAAAACTGTATTTGTCAGCGGGTATTTGAACTCAATACCACAGTGGATAACAAAATGGGAGTTTGAGGAGGGAAGTGGAAACTTTAGGTCAGTCAGTCAGCCAGCTACAACATAGAAGTTGGTACGCACATACATCAGCTCACGTCGCCATACCACATTAGCACAGAGAGTCAACTGTCAATCCAAATCACAAAGCAGTAGATGTAGTAGAAGTATGAGCAGTAATCGGAGAGATTACGATTCAATGCTATTCTTCAACAAGTATAATCTAGTGAAATAAATTTGAGAAGAGAAAGATAAAGATGATGAGGAATCAAAAAGTTTAGAATTTGAGAGAACACTGAGAATCATTGCACCTGCGTCGTTGCAAACGGCTTTGAGCCATGTCATTCATGGTCTCTAACCACCGATTTTTATCATCTCGCGGACCCCAACCACGTAGTCGACACCTATCAACATGGCTCAATCTACTTGTCAGTGACTTCATGGATTTGTGCCATGTTTTGGTTTGGCCGCTCCTAGCTTTCTTTCAATCCACTCCTACACTGAAAACATAGCTCGTCGAGGCAGTCGGTGGTTGGGCATACGTTACATATGTCCCAGCCACCTCAACCGATTAAGATACAGTATTTCATCAATTGATCTACTATCCTCACCTAGTATCTGTTCCTTCACATTAGCATTGCTTACTCGGTTGTCCCAGGATATACGAGCAAGGCATCTATGATCAAATACTAGTACCCTAAGAATGTATTTGCTTGCTTATACCACTTGTACGTTAAATTTATAAAGTGAATTATTAATCTACTGTTTTGACCAATGAAAAAACAAACTCGGTTATTATTATCTGTACAACTTTATTTAGTAGGACGCTTTTTTTAACGCCGAATCATTCAACAAGGTCATGTTACCGTTGAATTCCACTTGTCATCACTACTCACTAAAACTCTGTGACATATTCCCTGTCACTTCTAGTCACATGATAATTTACAGTATGATGGTTATTGTGGTGGTGCTTGTTGAGTTTATATTCAAATCATGTATCTGTCAATGTTTGACCATCAAAACAAGTTGATTGTTTTTTCAATTTTTTATACTACAAAACATGTGCAAACAGGAATACAAATATATAATCGATGAAAACACATAAATCACTTGTGAAATATGTTCACCTAATCTGTTGTGTTTTCTGCAATGCAAGAGCTCATTATGAACTGTCTTTTTTCGGTTGTCTTTTGATCTTTAAAAACTCTAATTATATCATATACTTTGATCGGTTGATAATCTTCTCACATTGGTAGTGATTTCTAGACGACGCTCCACTTTATACTAATACTACTACTACTCATGAGTTATTTTATAAGTAGTGTACACCACACCATCTCTTTCATTCCCCGACCGTAGCTGCTACCTTGACGTGGTGGTCGGCCTTAACTATCGTCATGCCCCAACCGAGCTATACTAGCTGGAACATATGTTCCTCAAGGTTCTACCATGCCAGACAGGTTGATTGGAGAACGATGGGACTAAAAGCAGCTACTACTCCAGGTCTGAGGGCGAAGTCGTACTCCTGACTGCAGAGGGGTGTGAGAGCAATAAGGTGTTTCCCTTGGGTAACCAGCATGCGCAGCGATACCGCCTTCTCACAAAGAACAAAGTAAGGGTTAGAAAAGGTCGACCCTAAAAATGTCACACCTCACTCTACCTCACGGATTTCCGTCTCCTTGGGTAAGGGTTCCCATTAAGGGCGTTTAAGAGCGGAGCTAATACTGAAAAAAACCTTTAATCGAAAGGCCGTGCGTGACCGGCCTCAAGCAGTTGTCCGTTGGGCTTCGCGGTCACGCTCCCCGGTCTCTAAGACCAACATTAATCTATCTTTCTTTTCAGGTTCCTCCTGAAACAAGCTTCCGCGGTGTGGGCAGCCGGTAATTGACAACCGCCCTCATACCCGTAACAGCACGAGAGACCAAATCGGTCAAAATCAAACCCTCTTTCATTCGTCAAAAAAATTTCATTTGATTACTGACCTTCTACATAAACATAATTTAAAGATGGCGAGATTATAATTTAAATGAACAAACCAATCATATAGCAAGTGTAGTATCTCTTTGAGTTTGGCGCGAAATGTATTCACCTATATATATATATATATATATATATATATATATATATATATATATATATATATATATGGTTTAGTAGGAACTCCGCCTTGAGCCCTTCTAAGGTTACTTCCAAGTCCCAAGCCCAGATAAAGAAAGAGACGGTTGATCATGGGCCTAGCAACCCTATCCCGTAGAAATTCAACTTGACGCAAAAAACACACTAAGCAGGAAAATCAATTCACTGATCGGCGGCCTATGGTTTAGTAGCGTTTCGTCACTGAAGCTACTTTTAGTTCATGATGAAAATCCTGCCAAATCGAGCTTGTAATCCTAACATCTAACTAAATCTTTTATAACCCTGGGCATTATTGTTCAAATCTCATCGTCTGTAAAAAAAAATTATAATCTCATTTTTAAATCAATTTCTTTTGTTTTCTTCTCAAAACTACATCTCCCCTGTATACCATTGAAAAAAATTTTTTTCATTCAAAACGACTGATTGTTAGATTTCAAAATAATAAAAAAAAATACGCCCACATTTTTCCTCATGTATCCATCCAGAGAGAGAGAGAGAAAAGGGAATGGGATGTTGTTTAACTTTCCTGTTTTCTCCGTTAAGTCTAGAGTTTTCTTCAGTGATACATACATGCATATATATATAGGTCTATTGTAATTAGTTTTGACTGAATAATAATAATCAGAAGAATTGGGTGGTGTTGTATATCCATCCAGCAATTTCATGAAAATTTTGAATTTTAAATTTTCATGTATATTTCGAAACGGTGTGTGTTTATAATATTTTGACACAATTTCCTTCAAATTCTTCTTGATTTATTCGTTGTCTGTAATAAAAAAAAAGAAATGAGATTGATAAAGAAAATCAGAAAAATAAAAGAAAGCTATTACGGAATTGCTAGTCTACCACCTGTGTTGGGACTATTGAGTAAGTAATGTTAGGGTTAGGAAAATGGGTAGTAGGTAAGGATGGTAGATCAATTGATGAAGTAGTGAATCTTCATCAGTTTGAGGTGGTTTGGATGTGTGTTACGTATGTCCAAACACAGACTGTCTCATTGAGCTATGATTTGTGGCGTAGGAGTAGATTGGAACAATGCTAGGAGCGGTCAAACCAAAACATGGAACAAATCAATGAAGTCAATGATAAGTGGACTGAGTTATGAGTTGTCTGGGGTCCGCGAGACGAAAGTCACAGGTGGTTAAGAGACCTTGAACAACGTGGCTCAAAATCGTTTGCAATGGAGCAAGTGCATCCATTCGTTGAGCTCTCTCAAATCCTAATCTTCTGGATTCGTCAGCACCTCCACCTTTGTCTTTTTAACTTTATCTCACTGAATTATACTTCTTGAATAGTATATTCAAACCCTAGCGTTCTTCATTATCATTAATACCTCTACTATCTTCATCACTATGGGATTTGATTGGACATTGGTGTCTCTGTGCTAATGTGGTATGGCAATCTGAACTTATGTACATACGTACGAAGTTCTACATTGCAACTGACTGACTGACTAACTCATGATTCGTACACGACACGAAACTAACCGATGGTTAGAGACCTTGAATGACATGGCTCAGAATCATTTGCAATGGAGCACGTGAATTCATTCATTATGTTTTCTGAAATTGTAATCTTCTGAAATCCTCATCATTTTTTGCTTTCTTGAATAATACAATTTACTTTGGATCAATTTTCTTTCATACATTTAGTAAGCAAACGGACATAAGAATGAGGAGTGTAAAAGCGAAGTAAAGTGGTGATGGCCAGTGGTTCAAGTCGATGTAATAAAGACCTGACTAAGTATTTATAGTCAGATAAAAATAAGCTAATCATGTGATAGGTGAAGTAAGCACATACACACACTCATGTAAGAAAAACTAGGATTGTAAGCAAATAATTGATAAGGTCAACGTATATGTGAACAATACGTCGAATGGAATAGATCGACTGACTTGTCCAAAAGTTGAAACAAACTATATAATCTAGACACTGGTTCACACTACACTATTGTTGAGTCACTTTGAGGGGTCACCAAGTCAGACAATATTGTGGTGTGTCAATCTTGTTGACGTCGGGCTCACCATTTGTGTACACTGGCGAGCGACTGAGGCGAACTGTATGAAGCGATGTGGAGAAGGCTAATGAGCCAACTCGAAGAGATAGAGCATGACTAAGAATATATAGTCAAACAAAAATAAGACAGACATACGACAAGCGAAATAGGCACACATGACTAAAAGCGATGAATAGTTGACAAGGTCCAATGACAAGTGGGACACGTCATGTGAGCTCATCATACAAACCAAACAATAAGAAGAGCGAAAGGTACATATAAATTGTTGTTCTATACAAATGGCTTGGTTAAAT